TATGTGCCATCGAGCACGGACGCGGCTTGTCAGGCGGCGCGGTGCCGCCGGTTGCAGCGACGGCTGTCCCGGCCGTCGCGTCCTCGAGAGAGGCGAGCGAGCCGGCAGCAGAGCCCGCATGGCCCTCACCGCCACAGCCGCTCTGCCTGCCGACCTCGCTCTCGCCGCCGCCGCCTGCAGCGGCGCCTCCGCGGCTCCGAGAGGACCCGGCCCGCGGCCGCGCCTCGCCTAGCGCCTCGGCGACGCCCTCGGCGACGCCTCCTCGCGTCGCGTGCCCGTGCGTGGCGACCGCACCGCCGGCAGAGCTTGAGTGGCCCTCCACGCCAGCCCGAGACTGCCCGGCGATGGTGCTTTCGTCGCCGCGCGTTGCCGCCGCTGCCTCGCAGCGGCTCTGTGCCTCGGCGCCGAGCCGAGACATGCCAGGCGGCCCGCCGCAGCCCACCGAGACGAGGCCCGCCCCCTCGTCGTGCACCACGTCGCTCGCGCCTCCGCCAAAGCGATCTCGATCACGCTTTGCGGCGACGGCGCCATCGACGCCGACTTGAGCCGCTGCTCTCGCCCAGCAGCGGGTGCTCGCCGCTGTCCACGGACGCGGCTCGTCAGGCGGCGCGGTGCCGCCGGCTGCAGCGACGGCTGTCCCGGCCGTCACGTCCTCGAGAGAGGCGAGCGAGCCGGCAGCAGAGCCCGCATGGCCCTCACCGCCACAGCCGCTCTGCCTGCTGACCTCGCTCTCGCCGCCGCCGCCTGCAGCGGCGCCTCCGCGGCTCCGAGAGGACCCGGCCCGCGGCCGCGCCTCGTCGAGCGCCTCGTCGACGCCCTTGGCGACGCCTCCTCGCGTCGCGTGCCCGTGCGTGGCGACCGCACCGCCGGCAGAGCTCGAGTGGCCCTCCACGCCACCCCGAGACTGCCCGGCGATGGTGCCTCCGCCGCCGCGCGTTGCCGCCGCTGCCTCGCAGCGGCTCTGTGCCTCGGCGCCGAGCCGAGACATGCCAGGCGGCCCGCCGCCGCCCACCGAGACGAGGCCCGCCCCCTCGTCGTGCACCGCGTCGCTCGCGCCTCCGCCAAAGCGATCTCGATCACGCTTTGCGGCGACGGCGCCATCGACGCCAACTTGCGCCGCTGCCCTCGCCCAGCAGCGGGTGCTCGCCGCTGTCCACGGACGCGGCTCGTCAGGCGGCGCGGTGCCGCCGGCTGCAGCGACGGCTGTCCCGGCCGTCGCATCCTCGAGAGAGGCGAGCGAGCCGGCAGCAGAGCCCGCATGGCCCTCACCGCCACAGCCGCTCTGCCTGCTGACCTCCTCGTCCTCTGAACCCTCGTCCTCTGAACCCTCGTCCTTTGAACCCTCGTCCTCTGAACCCTCGTCCTCTGAACCCTCGTCCTCTGAACCCTCGTCCTCTGAACCCTCGTCCTCTGAACCCTCGTCCTCCGAACCCTCGTCCTCTGAACCCTCGTCCTCTGAACCCTCGTCCTCTGAACCCTCGTCCTCTGAACCCTCGTCCTCTGAACCCTCATCCTCTGAACCGCTCTCGCCGCCGCCGCCTGCAGCGGCGCCTCCGCGGCTCCGAGAGGACCCGGCCCGCGGCCGCGCCTCGTCGAGCGCCTCCTCGACGCCCTCGGCGACGCCTCCTCGCGTCGCGTGCCCGTGAGCGGCGGCCGCCCCGCCGGCAGAGCTCGAGTGGCCCTCCACGCCACCCCGAGACTGCCCGGCGATGGTGCTTTCGCCGCCGTGCCTTGCCGCCGCTGCATCGCAGCGGCTCTGTGCCTCGGCGCCGCGCCGAGACATGCCAGGCGGCGTGATGCCGCCCCAGCAAATCCTGTCGTCCGCAGCGTCAAGACTAACTTGAGCAAGTATTGGCTCTGCCTCCACATCGCAGTCGCTCCAACCTCTGCCAGCTCCCTTGACGCTGCTCCGTGCTGTAGCGATCTCCTTGAGAGATCCGCTAAGCCCATGCGTTGCGGCCTCTTTACCGTCAGCGTGTTCCAGCCTACCAGAATCACGTATCGGAACCACTTCCCGACGACGAATATGGTTGACGCTCGAACACGTTGCTGTTGCTTCTGGAGGTGGCCTTCCACCCCCGTGCCAACCCCTTCCAACCCCAACAAAACACCGACAGACGAGAGAAGAGGCCACAAAACAGACAAGCAGAATGGCAAGAGAGAGACGCTCTGCAGGCGAGCCCACGGGCCTCTTGGGCCCTCGCGTCTCTCTCTCTCGATTCGTTACACCGATTCGACCATCAGGCGGGCCGATTTCGACCCATCACAAATGTGGGAAGCCATTAACCTCCCTTGGCTTCCCACACAAACCCCCCTTCATGGGGGGAGCAGCAAATGAGGTAGTCTCTGCGAAATCACTGTCCCAGTGAATTCGCCCTAGAGGCTTCCGTGTGGACTCGCAGCTCCGGCTGGATGTCGGCGACCTAAAGCTCGGCGGTCGTCGCTTCGCGCCGGCCGACTCCCTGCGATGGGGCGGCTCACATCCGCCCACGGTCGGGGAAGTGCCCAGTGTCTGCCCCAGTCGACCCAAAATTCGACCCGAAATGGAAAAGGACCACCGACCTGAGGATCCAGAGGATGTACTCCCACCGCCTCTCGGGGTTTTATCTGGCGGAGTCAACCCCGGAGCTGGGCGGCGAGCCTTGGCGAGACTCCGTACACTTGACTAGGTCCAGCCCAGGGGGTGGCGCAAGTTGTGACATTTGGCGATTCCGCGACTTACTGGGCCCCTGAGCCGCTACCCGTGTGCGATTTTTTGTGGCCCGGGCATGATACTGATAGTAAACGGGTCAGAACCGGCCAAACACAGGCTACAGCCCCACACACGCGCCCGCCATAGCTCCTGGAGAGCATGCGCGAGTGACGCGCTACAAGCCGCGAGAGTGGCATCAGAGGCAGGAACGACGTGCTCTTACTGCACCTCGCAGCTGCACCGAGTGTGCTCGCAGTGTATGCCACGGCCACCGCCTGCGGCATTGCTCTCGTGCAGCTAGGCGACGCAGGTCCATCAGCAGGGCTCATCCAATGCGAGCGCACATTGTGCGTAGCCGCAGGCAGGTGGCAGTGCACGGCCGCACACCGGCTGTGGCGGCTCGTATGCCCCCGGCAGTGCTGCTAGTCATTGACTTGCGTATTAGGGCCGCAGCAGACTGCTGCTGTGGCAGCAGCAGCAGCAGCCTGCTGCCTGATTCAGTCAAGCCAGCGGCGCAGCGAGGCGTGCAGAATTTGCGTGGTTTTGTTCCTCCTGAGGCTGAGCGCATTCGAGCCCTTCGACCGGAGTTGGATGGTACCACGCGTCTCACTGAGACGCGGGGTACTGGCCATGGCCGGACTACGGAGCGTGAGGTGGCGAGCGGAGCGAGCGACAAAACAACGAGAAAAACACCGATCTGACGATTGTCACAGAACGTCAGATCTTGCGCCACCCAGGGCTGGACCTAGTCACTTGGCCTTGGAGCACTTTTGGAGATGGAGTCAGGAGTGCAGTCATCAACCTCACTGCTCACATCCATCCAGGGCCGGGGAGCTAAGAAGCGCACCCAGCGGGCCGGATGATCGATATCGGGTTACGAGCTAGAGAGCACTAGCCCTGCCCCTGGGGGGGGGCGCGTTCGCAGGGAAGAAGGGCCGTAAAATAAATAAATAAATAAAACGGGCAAACTCTGAGACGAGATGGGATTTAGGGACATGTGTCCCCGCCCTGCACGATCTTGGTGTGAGGGATCTTCAATCCGTGTCCCCTCACCCCTCGTCACAACCCGACACGGAAGAGCGGCAAGAGTTGGGGCTGCGGCTACGGCTGCGGCTATGAGAGGGGCCGGGGTCGCGGGAGAGCCGCTGCGCCGCGTGGACGCGCCTACACCGCTCTTGCTCCGCTCGCCACCTCTCGCAAAGGTCCAAAGCCATAGCCACCACCTCCTCCGGCAAGTCCTTTCGCCGTATCTCGCCGTCCCTCCACGCCTGGAAGCTCGTCGTCATAGCCGTATTGCATCACAGCCTGCTGAACTGCGTCGTGTACGACCCCTGCCGTCCTATCCTGCGCCTCAGCGTCGGAAAAGTCGAACTCGGAGTCATACTCGGAAGCAGGCACAGTCCACAGACGGCCGCGGTGATTTGGCAGGCGGCGAGGAGGGGGAGGGGGAGCGCGGTGGTGCGCGCTCGTGGCTCCCGCTGGTGCCAGAAGGGCCAGCGCCCAGCGCGCTCAGCCGTAAAGTAAACACGCGCTACTGCTTTTTCTTTCAGCCCCACACCACGATGGCACCGCTATCGAGGGTGAGGCGCATCTACTCGTGCTCCCATCTTCCTCCCGTCCTAGCTCCGCACACTCAAACACCGATCTGACAGGGCTCATTAGTCTGTCCTCCTCGCCTACCTCCGCTGCCATGGACCGCGACCCGACGGAGGTTGACGAGCGAGATCCATGCACCACAACCTTGCTGCAGCACATGATCGCCGGCTCGTTCGCCGGCGTCTCAGAGCACTCTCTGATGTTTCCTGTCGACACAGTGAAGACGATGGTCCAGGCCGGAGGTGGGCGGGGCGCGAGGCCGGGCGAGCCATTCGCGGCGGGCGGAACCAGTGCCCGCATGGCCGTCGTCCGTGAGCTGGTCGCAAAGAATGGTCTCGGCGTGCTGTGGCGCGGCGTCGGCGTTGTCCCAGTCGGATGCATCCCGGCGCACGCGATGATGTTCTCCGTTTACGAGATTATCCTGGAGGCGGGCGGCTCGCGGCAGCAGGCTGCTACACCAGAGCGGGTGGCCGCTGTCGGCGCTGCGGCCGGCGGCGTCGCCACCTTGTTCCATGATGCCGTCATGGTGCGGCCCTGCCCCATATACCCGCCGATCGCTCCGCCTCCGTCCCTGCCAACTCCCACCTCCCAGCTCACCGCCTCGACCTAGCCGCCTCCTTCGCCGCCGCCGCCCAGCCCGCCAGCTCTGAGCCCGCCGCCGCCCTCGCTGTCGGCTATCTCCCCAACATCGGTTACCTAGGTGCCCACCGAGACGGTCAAGCAGCGGCTGCAGCTTGGATACTACCGCAATGCGCAGCACTGCCTGGAGCGGATCGTGGCCAAGGGTGGCACTAGCCTGTTCCGCAGCATGCCCACGACGCTCGCGATGAACGTGCCGTACAACTCCCTCATGATGATGTGCAACGAGTCGCTGCGAAAGTGGCTCAACCCGAGCGGGGACTTCTACCTCTTCTCTGGCTGCGTCTCGGGCGCACTTGCGGCGGGCGTGACAACCCCGCTCGACGTCGTCAAGACGGCGCTACAGACTCAAGGCCTGCGCCCGCCCACTGCGGAGAGCGGCTACTCGCGCGACGTGCCAAAGCACTTTGAGGTGCGCTTCCGGGGCGCCGGCGACGCCATCCGCGCGATCTGGCGCGCGAACGGGCTGCGCGGCTTCCTCTGGGGCATGCGCCCTCGGATGCTTCAAGTCGGCCCGTCGTGCGCGATCTCCTGGTGCGCGTACGAGTCGATGAAGCACACGCTGGACAAGTTCGGCGTCGGGCGGGCTGGCGCTGGGTGATATTGTGTTGACGTCTCTGGCCTAAGTAACCCACCCTCACACAACCCTGAGAA